GGGGATCAGCAACCCTGGGGGGATCAGAGTGCGCTGGAAGGGGGGGATCAGCAACCCTGGGGGGATCAGGAGATTGGGAAGAGGGATCAGGGCTCCCCGGTGCCGGCTCTGTCCCGCTGCCCGCGGCGGATCCCGGGGCTGCTGCTCCGCGCCCGGCTCCGAACCCTGTGGGGTTCTGGTTCCGAACCCTGTGGGGTTCTGGTTCCGAACCCTGTAGGATCCTGGCTCCGGGCCCTGTCGGGTTCTGGTTCTGAGCCCCGTCGGATCAGCCGGTTCCGGTTCCAGCGGTACCGGTGCGGTTCCAGCGGTACCGGCTCCAGCCGGTCCGGTTCCAGCGGTACCGGTGCGGTTCCGGCGGTACCGGTCCGGTTCCAGCGGTACCGGTCCGGTTCCGGCAGTACCGGTGCGGTTCCGGCGGTACCGGCTCCAGCCCGGCCGGCAGGGCAGTGTCACTGACGTGTCACCGCAGCAGCGCTGCCTCGCAGGCTCTGCCGTGCTCTCCCAGAGCCGCTTTCAGCCACGCTAAGCTCATTTCCCCCTTCCAAAGGATTTTTAATGCAGTGGAAAGACCCCTCCATGTTTTTGGAGGAGTTGAGAGGCAGAGACTGTGGAATTACAGAGCTCAGATCCTGTATGGTCTCTAGTAAGGGACGCTTCTCTTGGAGAGAAACTGCTTCAAATACCGTCCTTCCTTTTATTTAAGGGCTTTATTGGAGAATATGGCATATGGATCTTGTTCAGTCTGCAGTCCTGTACAGCGTCATGACCCTCATCAGCACCTATCTCGTGGCTTTTGCATATAAAAACGTCAAGTTTGTCCTCAAGCACAAGTAAGTTTGGTGCCTGTTTGAATTTATAATTTAATAATTTAACAAAACCGCCATTTACTACTGTAGTTCCTTATTAATAGGAAGGCCTGAAATGGTACTCCAAGAAGTATTTTGCACAGAACTATCTCCTAATTAGTGTCTGTTCTTTCGTACATGTAGTCAGATCTTGTCAGCTAAGAGTATGGTGAAGCAGTAAATCCACCATCATGCTTGCTGGGAATCACCACAAATGATGTTTAAATTATAAATTATATTACTTATTGCATGTGAATTATATTACTTCTAGTAATTGCTGTTATTATTTCTTGTTGTCCCTTCACCTCGACAAAACTGCGCTATCTTGCCTAAGTTGTGTTCTTCACTGTACATTAAACTTCCTGTAATCCCAGGGTTGGGGAGTGGGGTTTTTTTTCATTTTTGAAACGTGACATGAGTGGTGGCACTTACAGAGTAGCCCAGAAAAGAGAAGATGCTGTTTCCAAAGAGGTGACTCGCAAGCTGTCCGAGGCAGACAACAGGAAGATGTCCCGCAAGGAGAAGGATGAAAGGTGATGTCTCTGTCCTCTTCCTTCTCTCCCTCGATGTAGCACTGCATTAAATGTCTTTAAGGCTCTGGGTGGAGTGGTAGGGACTGTGCTTGGCACTGTTTTTTCTGTATTCTGGTAGGCAGAAGCTGCAGGGTAGCTCTTGGTCCAGCTTCAAGCCCTTTTGAGGCGAGTTGTGAGGGGAAGGCCTCAGATGCACTCGGTGATAGAGGGGATCCCCACTGGGGCTGTGCAGGATGGCAGCTTTGGAGCCAAACTCTGTCCTCTGGAAACAGTACTGCACACTTCATGCTGTGGGTGTGCCAGCATCTCCCCTGCCTCCCTGGCAGTGCCCAAGGCCAGGCTGGACAGGGCTTGGAGCACCTGGGACAGTGGGAGATGTCCCTGCCATGGCAGGGCTGGGATGGGATCAGCTTTCAGGCCCCTCCCAACCCAAACCATTCCAGGATTCTGTGATATCCAAGAAGTATATTTGAAATTTTATCTCTGCTTGCTCCTAGGATTCTGTGGAAGAAAAATGAAGTTGCAGATTATGAAGCAACAACTTTCTCCATCTTTTACAACAACACCCTCTTTCTGGTCCTGGTCATCATCGCTTCCTTCTTTGTGCTGAAGAACTTCAACCCCACTGTGTATCCTTTATCCCCACCTGGAACCCCCACTCCTGTTAGCTGTCACCACGAGCTGGAGTTGTCCTGTGGGCTGTGGCATTCCCCTGTTGCAGCTCATTGCAGTTCAGGATCTCTTCCCTGACAGGATGCTTTAGCTCCAGTAACTCTCAATGCTTTGTTCCTGAAGGATATCAGTATTGCTAGCAGGGCAGTTAATTAAAGATATGTATTTATAAAACTTGTAAGAGAGCAGGCTTAACTTCATGGGTGTCTTAACTCTGAAGGTGAGTTCTGAAGCTGTGCATCAGGTTGCAATATTCCAGTTTTAAAACAACAATTCCTTTTCATAAAACTCCTACCAAATGTTCTGTACCAGAGAAGGAACTTGACAATTCCTTAACCTGTTCCCTACAGAAACTACATCCTTTCTATCAGTGCTTCCTCAGGACTGATTGCTCTGCTGTCCACAGGATCCAAGTAGACAGAAAACCCACAAGTTTCTGTCAGAGGCTTCAACTGCCATGAAAATGCCTAAGGGTAGAATAGGAATAATTTTTTTTTTAGCATGAGGAAAATATGGGGAGGGTTTGAATGCAAACTGGTTGAATTATATTTACTTTAGGTATCTTTACATTGTATTTGATATTGGAGTTACTCAGTTTTTTTTTTACTTAGCAAGGAGAGGGAGTGGGGTGTGAGCTGTGAGCAGACATCACCTTTCTGCAGCTCCAGCCTGGGGACAATCCATTTATCATTGTAACTTGAAAGGTTGTAATAAAAAGGAGCTTTTTTTGTCATTTGATTCTTTGTATTTTCATTCTTCTTTTTTTTTTTTTTTAAAACCCAGGGAATTTCTTATCTGGGTTTGTCAACTCTTTCTGTTCTACAGGTTAACAAATTCCTTAGAAGCACTCCCCATTTTTAAGTAACTTGGAGTCAGGACAAAACCTAAATCTCCCAGGAAAACACTTCTGAAGTGTTATTTTTTTTCATTATTCTTCAGTTATTTTCATTAATCTTCAGTTACATTCTTTAGGTTGTAAATTTTAAAAATAACCAACCCTGCCAGTCTCCCTGCACAGCTTAAGAAAAATGCTTTAGCTGGCTTTTAATAATGGGTTTATCTTACAATCCTGTGCCTTCTTTTCTGGCTATCACTGGAGCAGCTGTTCCCTTAAATGCCAAACTCTACTGATATTAATGCAATTCCAGTTATAGATCTTGCCATTATAGACTTGGGATCCTAAAGAGAGAAGAAAGAGAAAGTTTATAATCAGATTTAATGTAACAATTACTCTGCTAATCTTGGCTTCAGTGAGATTAAATGGAAAATAGAGTAAAATGGAGAATGTGATGAGCAGGAGACAGTTATGGCTCTATTTCTGACAAATTCAAGTACTTTTGGTCATTTAATACTCTTTAATTAACTGTTTCCTCTCAAAATACATGGATTTTTCTTTATCCCTTCTGCCTGACTACTCAGCACTGGAAGGACACATTCCATATAAAACTTCTACCTGCCTTGGAGAATTTCCCTTTCCTTGGCCTCCCTTCTTAAAAGGGACATAACTGATGGTTCTTAGGCTGAGCATTCAGCTCACATAAATCAGATTTTAACCAACCTTTCCCACCAGCACAAAGCCAGGCTGGCTCCTCTGGGAGCAGCAGGACTTTGATGTTTTCCCTCAGTTGTTCCCAGTGCTGAATTCCAGCCCTTGAACAGACAATGTTAAACTCACTTTCCTGGCAGGTGTACTTTCCAGAAAATCTGCTGTCTGGGAAGTGCTTGGGAGCTGCACTTTCTTCTGCCATTACTGTCAGCTCACTGAGTCTTTTATTACCAGCTTTTCATCTTCTCTCGGGGCTTTTTTGGTATTGACAGTTGCAGAGGCCTGGAGCTCAGTGAGTGTCAGAAATTTCCTGGAGAGGGAAGGCTGAGCATGACAGCCTGAAACAAAAGCAGGTGGGTGGGTGGGGTGGGTTGTGTTCTGCAAAAAAAAAAACCTAATCTTGAGCCTTGACAGAAAAGTTTGGGGCTTTTTTTATTTTTTGGCTGGCATTTGGATTTTTGTTCGCTTTTTCAGTTGTCTGTTTTTTCTTTAGGAGGTGGTGTTTGGTTTTTTTCCCTTGCAATCCCCACTACAAGTTGGAGTGATAAATAAAAAATTCAATATAATGTACTGAAATGATATTTCTCTAGTCTAATGCTGGGAGTTAATCTAAAGCTGGGCTGCTGCTTGGCCCCACATTGCCCTCAGAGCCTGTGAGGGACAATGCCATCCCCTCAATTAAAGAAAAAGTTGGGAATTGATCTAGTTTTAATACATTCTTGGATTCTCAGGTACATGAGAAGGGGAAGAGAGAACATTAAATTGTACCTCCAGAGGGAGGAAAAGGAATTAGTCTGTACTGGGAGGATAATTATATTAAATTAATGAAGCTGTTAACTGTGTAAAGGTGGAAGTCTTTATAAAAATTAGCAGTAGTCAGTGGTGATGCAGCGCTGGGGGATGTTCCTGGGGCAGGGGAGGGTGGGCTCCACCTCAGCTGGCTGGGACTGGCCAGTGTCACCTTGGGGGGCTGGGGACAGCTGCACTGGCTTCGCTTCAGGCCAAACCAGGGAAGAGTTTGGGTTGGAAGGGACCCCAAAGCCCCTACAGTGTCCCCCTGCCATGGCAGGGACACCTCCCACTGTCCCAGGGGTTCCCAGCCCCAGTGTCCAGCCTGGCCTTGGGCACTGCCAGGGATCCAGGGACATCCAGCCTGGCCTTGGGCACTGCCAGGGATCCAGGGACAGCCCCAGCTGCTCTGGGCACCTGTGCCAGGCACTGCCCACCCTGCCAGGGAACAATTCCTGCCCAAAATCCCATCCAGCCCTGCTCCCTTCAGCCTCAGGCCAGGACAGACCTTACCTGGGACTGCTGTGCTCCTTGGGGACCGGCTGCCAGCAGCACCTCGGGGCCAGCCCAGCTCCCTCCTGTCCCTGCTGCCCCTCCTGGGCACAGCTGGAGCGGTTCCCTGTGGAACAACACCCTCCCATCCTCAGCAGAAAGCCCAGAGCAGCTCTGGTGTCAGAAACATCTCTGCAGCTCTCAGGGTAGATGCACAAAATGCTTTTATTGTGTCCAAGCAGAATTCCAGTCAGACTGCATTTCTCATGTACAGCAGGAGTCATTTACACACACCACAGCTTCAAATACAGGAGGAGACCACTCAGGTGTGGGAGCTGCTCACCTGGCCCAGGTGAGCTGCAGGGGAGGAGAACAAGGTCCTACAAATACTGTACACAGCTGTATCCCAGCAGGGACGGGAGAAATACAGACTGAAATCAGAGGAGCGTGGTACAGAGCAAATCCATGGGAAGATACAACGTGGGGCTTGAGCTGGGCAAATTAAGATGTAAATTCTTCCTGTCAACTCCTGTAAATGCTCACAAAAATCTGTTTAAAATGTGTCTATGCATTTACTTATCCCCGGTTCCAAACCAAGTGAAAGCAGGTGCAGCATTTTGGAGTACGTACCTGATTGCTCCTGCAGCTCTCAGCAGCTATATATTGTAAATATTTATAGTATCTATATCCTTAAAAGCTCCTGAATATTGAAATTTGCAGTAGCTCTGTCTACAAGCAGGCAGAAGTAGAGGCAGGTTTCTATAGATGCAAAACCCAATATTTAATCATGGCTTTCTTGGTTTAAGGTTTATGGAGCAGTAGAACTCTGCAGAGCTCTTGTGTTCAGTAACCTGGCAGGCGTGTTTGGGCTTCCTAGCACTGCTCCAGGAGCATTCACAGCTGGAACAGCTGTAAAATTAGGAGCTGAACTATCTAACTGCTAGCTAGTTCTCTGTCTCACAGCCTTTATTCAACTACAAAAAAATCCTAGAGCTTATATTCAGCGTAAAAAAGCAAAGTTTGAGCTTGCTCCTTCCATCTGTTAGCCTGAAGAAACTTTATAGTTGAGATTTCCCAAACGTGGTTTTATTAAAACCTGAAGTTGTATCTGGCTTTTCTTCATTGAAAAAATAGATCTGTACATCCTTCTTTAATTACCAAGTACCTGAAGGTTATAAATTATTTTTTTTTCTTTTTTTTTCTTTTTTTTTTGCTTTACAAGTGTTTGTCACAGCACAAGCATGAGGTGCAAAGAGTAAAGTAAAAATTAATGAACTCGGTCAAGAAGGTAAGAAAATACAAGGTTATTCTTGGTTAGAAGAGAGATCAACTGTGCTTTTAAATTCACTGCAGAGTAGTAGCAAGAGCACACATCTCGAAGGATCCAGTGACAGTAGACACCGAGCAGCAAGTGCTGAATGATTCTCATGAGAGTAATTCAGGGCTGTACTGGAGTACAGAGCACTTCTAAACCATGCAGTCCAGGAAATTCATGCATTGCCTTAGGATCTGTAGTCCTTCTTGCTGTAGGGCTTGTTGCCCAGGATATTATCTATTTCATTTACAATATGGGACGTCATCTTTGGAAGGACCTGGGGTGGAAGAAAGCGATGTTTAATCGAGATAGTTCCAAAATGAAACCTAGATTTTATCAAAGTACATTTCCTCTGGGGTTTTTGTGTGACAGATATTAAGCATTCATCTAATAACTTTCTCCCTTAAAGGAAAAACCACTGGAGTATTTTTAGTCAGCGAGAGACTCAGAGCAAAGCCTCTGTGTGGAATATTGCTTGGCTGCAGTGGGACACGAGCTGGTGCAAGGACAGCAGAGGAAGAGGAAGCTCTGACTGGGGAAAACCAGCAGGGAATAATTAAGGTGGGTGAAGGTGACGTGTGACAGCACAGAATCTGTCACCACACCTCCTGGAATCACTTGCATTCTCAGGTACATGGAAGCTGCTGATGGCACCCTGGTGTCCCTGGCTAGGTCTGCAATGACCCCAGTGGTGCTGAGCCTCGGTGGCACCAGGGATGGGCCTGATCAGGGTGCATGAATGGAGCTGAGAGACAAAATCCCAAGTGTTGTCCTGCCATGAAGGGCAGGAGGGTGCTGAGGCCTGGTGCTGCCACCCCCTGCACTCACCTGGATGGCTCCGAGGTTCTCGATCAGCTGCTCGGGGTTGGAGGATCCCAGAAGGACAGAGCTCACCCCCTCATTCCTCAGGCACCATGCTGGGAAGAAAGGCACAAGGTGGTCAGGAACAGAGATGAGCTGTCAGGGCCTTGCTCCTCTCCCTAATGTTTGACAGAGCCTCTGTCTCTGCTTGGAAATAATCACATTATTTGTCTCAGCTTTGCTCCTCTGGCACTACCAGGAGGAAGAGGCACAGATCGAAAATCAAACCCCACAGATCTTCCAGGATCCCACCTGAAGCCTGGTCCCTGCTCCAGCACTTCTCCTGGTTGTGGGGTTTGGTTTTTTCCCTACCACAAGGAGTCACTGCTGGGATGTTGAGCCAGGGACCACCTTTCTGACAGACATGTGGCATTTTCCAGCCTCAGCTCTCAGAAGCACAATTATTATGGAAAAAAACCCCTAAAACTCGTTTTTAACAGCATTCTCTTGTTTGCCAGGCCAGCACCACAAAGGTGATGGCTTCAGGTGGGGAGGGAATGTCCAGGGAAACAGGGAGGTGGGACCCCTGCGATGCCCAAGATGCTCTGACCCTGTCAGCCACAGCCTGCTGCTGCTGCTGCTGGAAACAATCCTGTTTAAATTAATTGTTGCCCAGAGAAGCTGTGGCTGCCCCTGGATCCCTGGCAGTGTCCCAGGCCAGGCTGGATGGATTTGGAGCAACCTGCACTAGTGGAAGGTTCCTGCCCATGGAACAAAATGAGCTTTAAGTTCCTT